TGTGTGTGTGTGTGTGTGTGTGTGTGTGTGACTCAACTGCTGCAGCGCCTTCCTGTTAAACTCTTCCTCCTCAGGCCCACACATGGGAGCTGAGACTAAAACTATCCGCAAGCCGCGAGGCCACCGTGGTCCCGACTGGACAATGGATTTTCTTTTTGCACTTTGAAACATACTCTTAAAATCTGTAGAATATATAGAGGAACCATTTTAAATGACTTTGATATGCTGATGTAAATACCTTTGCCCTTTGACCCTGTTGATGGACCTTTTTGAGTGCAGTTCATCTAAAAAGGAGGGAAAAAGGCATTGTGGAAAGGCTCTTGATCTTTACTGAAATTAAATAGATGGTTCTCACCGTGTTTCATCCCTTGACTGAGTAACGTTCAGTTGGGCGTTGTTTAATCCTGAAATAAAAAAGACAGGCAAACAAACGGATCCAAAACTGATCCAATCCAAACTAATCTGTCTTTCATGGATTGAATTTATCTATACTTACGTATGCTGAACCATTTCAGTTCAAGCATGTCAGTAAAGATAATGTTTACAGTCTAGGACATTAACTGCAGTAAATGATCTGAATGTTTGGTCCAAGTTAACTTGGTTTACCTTCATATGTTGCCGAGACAAAAAGGACCTGTATGTGGGAGGCATGTTACAAAAACCGTAATAAATTTGGGACCAAATCCAAGCTTTTCACCCACAGCCAATCCAAACTATCTACATATTTTCTAACATGCAAAAAATTTGGTTTTACAAAAATGAAACCTGTGTTTTTATCTCGATTAAGAGGCATCCATTGAGGCATTTACATTTTTGTTGGAAGAAAAGGACCCGGAATCAAGAGCCAAGACAATCAGGACGTCCAGAGTTGAATGAATCAATGTTCCACTCATCATTCTGAAAGCGAAAGCCAAAAAAAAAAAATAAACAACCCTGAAACTCCATCTCTCAATGCCAAATCTTATCCAACAAAGCCATCTAACTGCCCTTTTGTTCAATCATTGACTATCAGTAGTTTCATTTGGATTTTTACCCAGGCCAGTAAAGTAACTCAGACTCCTCCATCTGCAGAGAACTGTGTGGGTGGGAAGTATCTTTTGCAACCCTCATGCAATGATTAACCCTGGCCGGTTTGTACGTGTTACTCCCCCGCTCATAAGCAGTAAATTGCCAGGTAGTAAAAAAAAAATCAATGAGGACACACCTTATGAAAGGTAGAGACACAGGTTTAGCTGATTGACATGATCGGGCTCCAGAGCACTGAGCACATTAAGCGTGAGGCCAGTGCGGAAGCTCATCTCAACATCACCGCAAAAACACACCAAAGCGAGTTTCAGCGTTTCCGTGCCGTGACTCACAGCAAAACAACAGGATGCTGGTGAAGGGAAGGGCAACCCGCCAGCCAGGCGGACCAATAGCAGCGAGGCCTGCTGGTTTGAAAGAAAGGAAGCCTTTAAAAACAGAACACAGCAAGTGACTAAGATATATTTTTGTCTGTGAAAACATCCTGAGTGTGTGGAGCAACAGAAACAGTACGGGAAAAGTTGGTCCCTAATCCTCGAAAACACCAACAATCAAATGTTCTTACACAACCACAGCCTGCATGCCTGGCTTGTCAGGGCTTTGATTTGCTGCGAGGAGGTTTGTCGGTTTGCCATCAGCGTCTAAAGACAACAAGGCCGTTTCGCGGGTGACACCCAGGCTGGAGGCTTTTGGGAGGGCGGTTGCGAACGGATCATGACCTGCCTGCAGGACCCAAAGGTGAAACCACAAAGCAGAACCCGTAACAGGATGGGTGCGGCGTTTTGCGTTTCGGGGGTTCCTCCGCCCAGGACGACCAGCGCGCTTTGGAAATCGAGGGCTTTTAGAGACGATTCTGGAAAAATGTCGTCACTTTTAGTTGTGGGAAAACCATAAACTGAGAATATGAACACTCCTGAATCTTTTTCGTAAGTTTAGGGCTTATGAAGATAAGTTTTATAGGCAAAACCTACCAGTTTTTACTAAGCCCTTCGATGCCGTACACATATTTGAAGCACAGATTCAGATTTGTGAGACCTATGCTACCTACAAATAGCAGAAAATTTGAATAAGACAAAGCCTGGATTGAAGAATATTTCCTTTTTTTTTTTTACATTTTAACTTATAAAAAAATGTAAAGAGTGCAGACCCCATTGATGAAATATTTTTTTTTAAATCTGTGCAATTGTTTTTACTCGTTACAAAATAATTCAGATTTTAAGAAGTCCTTATCCTTTTTTATTTATTTTAGTAGGTAAAGTTTTATAAGGCTAGCTGTCAAGAGGCTGCCTCATTTTAATCTCAAGCTTTTATTTACCTCCGGTTTTCAGTTGTCAGCTGAGGATTCATGCTCAAATAAATAGGGTGCCCATACCTTATATACAGTAAAGGATCATGGTCTCATTCATCTTCCTTAAATAAAATGCGATCATGAATTTAAGCAGACCTACTGATAATTGTCTACAGACGGCAGAATGATGGAAGGGAGAGATTCAGTTTTGATCGTTTTCAGTGTGAAGATGTTGGCAGTACGGGGGCCTTCAGTGCAAACAGAGGTCCTCTTTCCCACAGCTGAATGACCTCAGAGAAGCCGCCTGATTTCAAACCTTGGAAAAGTGCCAGAGTTCTGTTTTGGCGACCTTCGTTTTTTTTGTTTTTTTTCCCAGAGGGAGTCACGTTTCGGCAGCACGTGGTGGCTTTTTCTCCTCCTCCTCGGACGGAACTGTTAACCTCCTGTCAGGACACGTCAAGCTGCCAGCGCGGCCTCCACAGAGAGGAATGTGTCTGTGTATATGTTGAGGGGGGGGGGGGGGGGGGCTCACGTGCTGCAGCAAAGAGGCCAGTCCAGAGGTTGGCTGAGCAAGGGAGTGGCCTCCCCCTGTACAAAAAAAAATAAGAAGAAGAAAGTTCCCGCCCAGCAAAGCTATAAACCAGGCGACACAGCAGCTGGTCCGTTCTTAGGAGCTCAAACCTGAATGAGAAAATCTGCTCTAGACCAAGAATGTGAGGATTACTCCTGGAATCTATGAATGGAGTCCAGAAGCAGCTCAAGTCAAACCTACACTGGCTTTTTCTCCCCCTGTTGTACCGGTTTCCATCAAGAATTTCTTTGACAGGGCTTCCTGAAGAAGTGACCCTTTCAATAGTAACACTTCAACGTCCCCGTTCGGAATACAAAATGGAAGAAGAAGCAGCCAGAAAGAGTTCGCTCAAACGCAAGTTAGATCTTTATTTCGGCAGCTCCCCCACGAGCCTGCACCACAAAATTATAAAGCCACCGACTCATCAGAAACTGATCTAATTCTGCAGAGGGCAAGACATTTTCACTCTGAAAATACCGCAAATCCGAAGATGTTTTTTTCCTTCCAAAAAATTCAAAATCAAAAAAATCTTCTGGCATTCGCTGACCTGCAGCATCAGAAAAAAAAAAAAAAAAAAAATCTCACTGCACAGTAAACAGGTAGTCCGGTTCTGCTTTGGTTTCCGACAGAGAAAACAAATCATAAGAGTATTGCAACTGATCGGGTAATAAAAGAGGGGGGAAAAAACTAAAGAAAAACTACTTTGAAATATCCAATTAGCATTTTAAGAGGACGCTTAAAAGGGAGGACATCAATTTCTATGCAAGGGTTAACTCATTTAAAAAAAAGAAATCATAAAAAAAGTATAAAAGAAAAAAAAAAAGCACCATTTCAAAAAACTTTAAAGTAAGTGCTCAGGTAAAGTTTAGACATCAGGAATCACAGACATATATATATATATAAAAAAAATAAACATAAGCATAAGCATAGAATTTGCTGTGTAGTTTGGCTGTATTATTGCAACCTGGTACTGATTTGTGCAGCCAGTACCAGCATTTAAAAATAACTAAAGCAACAAAAGAAGAAACAAAGTCTGTAAAAACAGGAAATGGGTCCAAGTGGTGTTTACATTTAGAAAAAAAAAAAAAAAAAAAACCTTGATCATTCTCTCTGCCAAAGTTTTTCAGCATTCCTCTTTAAAAAATTGCATAAATAACCAAATTTGCTATAGGGACATGAAACTTTTTGGACTTTGAGGGGGAAAAAAAAATATGTATATATACGTTTATATACACACATACACAAGTATGTGTGTACATTTATGCCCTTTTCTGCTGGTGTAATCCCTAACCGAGTGTCCTCAGTGGGGGAGGGGGGGAGCTGGGGCTCAGTGAGGAAGTGGTACAGTGTCTGTTCTTGAAGGGGAGGGGGGGGGTTGCTCACAGCTTCTTCAGACGGCTGTACATGTCCCGCTTGCTGCGCTCGCCGGCCCAGGTGCGACTTTTGAGCTTAAACTTCCTCAGGTCCTCCTTGAAGTCTTCGTGGTGCATGGGCCGGTAGGACTGAGGTTCACACTGGGCCTGCGAACGGAGGAGGAACTCACGTCAGCCAACAAACTAAAGGCAGGATTAATCCTCAACTTGTGCTGTCACTACAATGTGACAAGTTTGAGACCAGATGGGGGGGGGGGGGGGCAGACTCGGTGGGACTGGCCCATTCTAAAATAATAAATGAAAAAAACCCACCTGAAAGTCAGGGAAAAAGTCTTTGTATCCGCCTTTGAGGATGTAGAGCTCGGGGTAGTGGAGTTTTGGGTAGTCGTTCATGGCGCGGTCCCGCTCCCTGACGAAGCGGCACATGCGGGGGCCGCGCTCCGACGAGTACTCGCAGTGGAAGACGATGACCACGCGCTTCTCGGGGCAGGCGGGCACGATGGGGGACTTGAGGAGGAAGTCCTCCACTTGGTCTTCCTGGTGCAGGTTCAGAGCTCCCTGAGACGGCAAAGACAACCCCCCCTGCTCTCACTACGATTCCGCCACGTCTGACGCGTTTTGCGCTCGTTTCACAAGACATCCCGGCCTCGTTTGGGCCATTTATATTAGTGCGCGTCAACTCACTTTTATGTGGCCGCCTTCGAACTCGTAGGGGTAGCGGCAGTCGATGACGATGACTTGCTCAACCAAGCTATTGAACTGGCCGGTCAGAGCAGCCACCATCTAAAAAACAAAACAAAACAAAAAAACATGTTTTAGTGTGACTTTTAAATGGTGTTCATCTGTGGATGCTACAACTAATCTCCCACTTACCATTTCTGATGTGATGTACTTGAGGTCTTGGTGTCTTCCCTCCACTGTGGTTAGTACGAACGGCTAAAGAGCAAACCGAAAAGAAATAAAAATGAATAAATAAATTAATTGGATGGGGAATGCACTTTCCCTTCGTTAGGAAAAAGTCCCACGGCTGAAGGCTCTCTGCTCTTCCTTACCTTTGTGAAATCTCCAATTAGCTCATTGGAACCATCCTGCCTGTCGAGCAGGCTTTCGATCTCCGTCTGACAGAAGGACTTGGACCTCTGGATCAGCGCACTGTGCTGAAAGCAGAGAGGGGAAAGGCTCCAGGAGGTCAGCGCCGGGCCATTTAAGATGATCTATGATGCCAGCGAGCCCAAACGGGGGCTTCCAGGGCCTTCCATCTGGAACTCACCAGTCTGGGGGATTCTGGGTTCTGCTCCTGGACGGTGACCTGTGTGCCGGCCAGGCTGCGGCGCCTCTTCACCCGCACGGGAGTGTTTTCGTCCCCGGGGTGGTCGGGACGCTTCGCGGAGAGCCGGGACACCGGACTGGGCATGGAGGGCGAGCGGAACAGGTTTCGTGGCCGGCACCGAATGACGGGCTAAAGACATAAAACATAATTAAAACAACCGAGTACTTTTCCGTTTCTTAAGATTTACTCTCAACATAAAGCCAAAAGGGCCGTGACTAAAAGAAAAAAATATTTACAGAGTCTTCGCCTGTGTTGTCCGCCATCAGTGGGGCCGTGAGCAAGCTCTCCATTCCCATCGGCATCCCGGAGTCATTCTGCAAACATAGGACAGGCAATTGAGGCTCAGATCACCCACCAAGGCTTTTAGAATGTTACATTATTACCCAGATAAAAAGAGTGAATCTAAATAAATCATTTTCTTCTTTCAGAATTTTAAATAGCCACAGATTTTACTTGCTTGCGCATAAAGCTGCATGTCAATTTTTGCTAGCTTGGCAAGTGTCTCACCTCTATATTGTCGTCCATTACTTCCAAAAAGCCGTCGTCGTCATCGTCGTCCAGGGAGGAGGTGAGGGAAGACCGTCTCAGAAACATGGGGCTGGAGTCAAAGTGGTCCAGCTGCTGGACTGTAGGGGGCGAAGAGAGCTGGACAAATAGAAAAAACAGGGGGTCAGCGTCCTTCTGAAGCCAGGCCTTTACCACGGCAAACGGGCGTGCGTTTTCTGCGTGTGTTCCCGTACCATGAGGGCCGGGGCCGAGCAGGGCCGGAGGGCGAAGGGTGAATGCTCGCTGTTGAAGGAGCGCACGCGGCAGCGCGACACGGGCTTGGATGGTTTTTTGAACTCAAAGCCCTCCTGGAGAAAGGGAAAAGAAATTGTAAGTGCCTGCGACCGGCGGCTTTCGCTGACATCAACTGAAACGGAGCAAGTTACTACGATTTTGCAGGCATTCGTTGTTTGGTCCGGTTTTAACCTCAGGAGGGGGGGGATTTTATCTTAAAATGAGCTAACCTACTTTAAAAAACAACTAACACTGACACGTGGACTATTCTAAAAATAACTGACTCGTACTGAATTAAAAAAATAATAAATTTGAACTGGAAAGATGCAATGCTGTCCCCATGGTAACACATACTCTTATGTTGAGGCAGATAACGATAAGCTCCTGTGAATGGAACAAAATCTAAACAGTTTATTTCTCCTGTGTCAGGACTCGGGTCTATCTTTAGAGTTGTGAGAATACCCATAATCCTTTGTGCACCTCAGACAAACCGCAGATAGAAGACACTGGTTGCATCTCTCCTAACTGAGGAAGCGTGCATGACTTTTTTGGGGGAACCTGCCAGTGTTTTGTACCAGAAACATGGCCACACAGACCTCTGGCATGTTCTCCTTGTCGATGTGATGAGAGGTGGAGGGCGCGTTCATGTGGGAGGAGGGCTGCTGGCCGAATGTGCCGTAGCGGTTGGAATCAGTCTCCTGTCCCTTCAGGGACGGGCTGAAACACAGGAGCTGGAGCTGTGGAGGGAGAGGAACACAAGAGAGTTGGAAAAGACCAAGATTAAATGACTGGAGGATGCTCAAATCTTCTAAGAAATTTTAGTCTCCACCCATCAGCTTCCTCCATAATTACCCTGAATGCTAACTGGAGTCACATTAACAGCATTAATACATGCAAGGCTGCACACTAAACATAATTTCAAAAAGTAGCTTACTGGCAATGAGTGGTTTCTTCGAATTGGCATCTTCCTATAATTAATGAGAGGAAAAGCATAAGCTGTAATCAAAACAAATTAACAGGCAGATTTCCTTTTTTATTCCCTGAACTGGAGCCAGTTTGGGTGAGGCGCCGTAACAGCCATTTACTAAACTCTCCGATTAGAGTAACTTACTCGTTAAAAACTCTGCTCGACTGCAGTATGGCCTTTTCAAATCTGTAACAAAAACAAAACAGAAAATGTTAAAAAGCCGTCTATGAAATGTAGCTGTAAAAAGGTCCGAGTGAATGAAGAGCCAGTTCAAAACGCTGTCAAACCACAAAGAATGTGGGGCTCTTTGGAAAGACTATGGGAAACGGTTGGGCTCGAGGAAGTCGGATGAATGAAAATGGGCGAGAGGTGGTCCTCTGCATTGGAGTAATGCCCACCTGTATGCTAAACAAGTGGAGTCTAGAGTGCTGCTCAGGGGGAAGGGGGACCAGGAGAAGGGATGCAGAGATCAGCTAATCCACCACATGTCTGCCGGAGCCAACACTGGCGAGCCCCTCTTCTGCAAGAGCCCTTTGTTTGTGGAGGGGGGAGCGTGTCCCATTCAAGGCAGACCAGAAGAGAGGAAAGCAGTTGTGCTCTATGGGTGACCTCATTTCTATAGCAGTGATGTTTGGGGAAAAAAACCCTCCCTTTCTTCTATTGAAACAACACAGCAAAGGAAGAGTGTGCCAAAACCCAAAGGGGGTGGGTATCATTAAACCCAAGCGCAAGGCACGTCCTCCCCCAACTTGAAAAACTCCTAGCAACCTAACAGCTGTAAAAGGGGGGCAAACGAGGCCTTTGACACCCAACGCTGCCCTAAAGGAACTCGCATCAGCCAGCAGCAGATGTCGGCATGGACTCACCCAACCCAGAGCTAAGAGGCCACCAAAGATCACACAGCTGAGGATATGCTGACAAACTGGTCAAGATAACAAAACTGTGCACAACTGCTGCAAACAAGTTGCACCAGGACTGAAGCAAACATCAGGTCCACCTTAAACTATGCAGTCATTTCAGAGTCAGAAATAGTTCATTTTGTTTAGCATACTGTTTTGGTTCGGGCAGACTAGACTTAAAACCAAACAAAGAAAGTTAAGCTCGTAGGGCTCATTGGTTAATCTGATTAGCAAAAAAGCACTAGAGAAGCCGTCATATTAAAACCAACGGTAGAAACTTTAATCCTGCAGATGAGAGCTGGTGCTTGGCTCAGCTGAACCCCCGTACAGGGTGGGCCAGTGGGGGTTTGGAAGGGTGAGAAGAGGGGCACTGTTAACAAGATGATTTATAAAAAGAAAAGAAAAAAGAGACTCTCTCGGGAGGATGGTAGAACTTACGTGTCCTGCACTTCGTCATCAATGGGGCTGGGGGGATCCATGCCGAGGCCTAAAAGAGTATACAAATTTAAAATGAATGTGAGGTATAAGACAAAACAGCACGGAATAGGCAGTGTATCCGAAGTCTATTCAACCATCCAAAAAGAGAAAAACAATTCACTTTTGACGTAAAAAAAGAGCATGCAACTTTAAAAAATTTAGATTAAATAAAAAATCCCCTTTAAATTTCCTGCAACCCAGAAATATACTTAATTCTACAATTAATACATAAAAAAGCATTGCTATTTAGCCTCAAAGGGCAAGAGAGGGAGATTTCCTCAATGCTGATTGGTTGGAGCCATAAAGTGATTAACATTTTTTGCCTGATATATAAACAGACAGTCTTTAGGTGTCTTATGAATAATTGACAAGTCTTGCATTCCTGGAAAAAAATAAAATACAACCACTAACTAAAATAAGAATCTATTCAATCAAAATGTGATTTAAATGATTTTTAATGTTAATGTTAATAGCGCCCTGGACTCACCAGCATCAGATGAGACGTCAGAGGCAAAGGACGGTACCTTCTCCAGGGGTGGATGCTTTCTCCTTTTGGGGGTATCACATTGGCTACATGGACATTCAATAAAAATAAATACATTATTAATCTTGAGTAAAGTGCATTCATCCAGCCAAATAAGACGTATGCCTGTCGTAGGGAGTTACGTTTGTGTATATATATATATATATGAAGAGATTACATGTTGTATAAAAAACACAACACTGTTAAATATTATTAAAATGTATCAAAGTATTACCTTCCGAGCACATCTAAATTGGTCAAGTCCACCGCTAAATTAGTGACTGGAGAAAGTACAGTCGCAGGTCCAGGGGAGCACACACTCATGCATAGCGAGGTCTTTGTACTCAGCTCCGGCAGAGTGCGCGAGGACAGCCCGGGGATCCCATCGGGCCTTCTTTTAAAAGCGGCGTTAGCCGGACTAATGTTGCCAAAAACGGGTTCCATCTTTAACTCTGTATCCAATCTAGACGAGTTCTGCAGGCGGTATTATTTGCCGATATATTTATTCAAAAGTGCGGGACAGAAAATGCCAATTAGCAACACGGTCCACAATGAACGCTAACCCGGAAGCTAACCCGTCAGTTAACGATGATGTAAAAAAACATTTTTCAAAACTACGACCCGAAACACCGATTAGAAGTGATTCGGTGGCTCCGTGTGGAGTAAAATTTTCATCCGGTCTGGTTAAATTTCTAGAGCCACATAACTGTTGTTTTGCCAGAGAGTCTCGGCACTATATCGTCTCTCTCTGACAGCCCCTGGTTTCTAAGGAAGACTGCGAAGCTAGTTGTATTTATGTTCAAAATAGAAGCCCAGAAGCGGCAATTTTCTGGCCAATCAGGGCCAGCTTTTATCCTTTGAACCAATCAGCGCTCAGTAAGATTCTCAGTTGTTGTTCCCTTACCGGATGAGACGGAGGACGTGACATAAGCCTCCCTTTAAAATGTCCCTATACTCTTTGTTCTCGAAGTTTGAGATGTTAACTTTTTAATATCCTAATAAATAATAGAATTACACAATCCTAAACTCAGAAAATCAAGCTCTTTCCTTATTTCTACAATTTGAATATACTTTAGGTATAAATAGTACAGTCATATGTGAAGGGAGCACATGTTCATGATAATGAAAGACAGCTAGAAATAAAACTTACTCCACTACAATTACCATTTTTGCACGTTGGTTACCACATAACACATCTTGGGATTAAATAATAAATTGTGTTTTAAAAGAATCAGTTCCCCACTGTGGGATCAATAAAGTATTCTATTCTATCAAAGAGATACAATTAAAAAAGCAAAGACTCTATCTTGATCTAAAGATATCAAGTGTAAAGTGGAATCAGACTTTGACAAAGATCTTCAAAATACTAACATGGTAAAGCTCTTAACATAAGCACAACCTTGTCCTCACAGGGAATCTCTTGTGACTTCATCATTTGCGTGCTAAATGGCAGCAACCTCATTGCCTCCCACACAAAGTGACTCAAACAAAAGAAATCTGTTTCTCACCGATGTAACAGGGTGCATATGTAGAGGCAGACTCAGGCCACATACTCCTCTCGGCTCTCGGAAATCATGCTCAATGCAAGTACAAGGAAAGCACCCAGAGAACTAGAAGCTCCAACTTCACCTGCAGGAAATGATTCTAATATGGAAACTATACCTATGGTTTGTTTTTGTCATTACGTAAGAGTTTATTTCTGGTTTCAATGTGGTTGTACACCAATTTACCTTTGCGAGCAATCAGTTTTTCATTTGCATGTGGATAAAAGCACAAAGTGGATAAGATCAGAACTGAAACAGTAATGCATGACTGTATACTGCATATTGCATGCTTTCTGGTTTTAAGCCATATCCCTCTCTTAAGAAATTCAATTCAAATTCAATTAAAAAACTTTATCTATCCTAAATAAATGTGATATGAATAAAATGTAATACACTTTTTTTTAAAGCTTTTTTTTTATTTGAGTCAATAAAGAGCTAGTTGGTCTTGGTTGAATGTAAAAGTACTTATATGGCACTTTTCTGATCAAGCTGACTACTCAAAGCGCTTTACACTACACGTCATTCACCATTCATACACACTGGTTGTACCAGTGGGTACACCAGATGCATCCTGTAGGCATTTTGGGGTTCAGAGCCTTGCACAAGGACTCTTTGACATGTGGTCTGATGGAACATGGAGTTGAACCTCTCGACCCTCCAATGAGTGGGCAACTGCTCATTCCCCCTGAGCCGCAGCCTATTATCTTTTTTAACCTATCTTTTTATTACATTATAGAATGAAATAATAATATTTTAAAAATGTTAATCCACTGCTTGGAACTGTGGTATCTTGTTACTGTCCAAAACACTGCACAATTCTGAGAGTGTGTAATAAATAGAACCACTGGTATGTAACCAGTTCAACCAGACTACGAAAGCTGTCCAACCGACAAAACCAGACAAATGTTACTGGTAAAAAAAAGCCTGAGCTTTGATGTTCCTGCATGTTTTTTTTCATATTATATTTTGTAAAGAATCCAGTGTCCAGTTTCCCATGGAAGTGTCATTTGAAATGCTATAAGGCACAACCAGACACAATTCAAAATCTGATTACCAATCAAGAGGCAGGCACCCATTTTAACACAACAACAGTTCTTTAGTGTTCCAACACGATGGTCTTTCAGCATCATTTTCAGCAAAAACCTGTGAATGTGAGTGGAGGGGGTGCACCAACTACCGGCTTGGGGAATAACCACTGTCCACTGAATCCCTCTTTGTTTACCTAAAGTATCCACGTGATTGGCATTGCAAATGTACGAGAGGCATAATGAACTTCCCTGGAGAGGGACGGGTGCGAGCCTGGACTCCCTGCTCAACACCCCACCTCCGAGAAGGGGAAACAAAAGGCGGGAGAGTGAGGGTGACTCAGAGTAAATAAAACCGCTTCCAATTCTTTTTCAGTTTCCACCAAACTTGCAACGATACCAAAGGAAAGATGATATGTTGCTAAACCTGCTGATTCATTTTAAAGAGAACTTTGTGGCCAAATACATCTTGTTATTAAGTTTCAAATGTACTTGTCTTGACTGCGATTTATCCTACCAAATATTGTCTACAAGAGTTAAGCTGTGTGAGTTTTGTTCCTGTTCAAGTTATAAACGTGATGCAATAAAGAGAGATAAGGAGGAGCCTTACACTTATACACAGATAATGTTGATTTTATTAGTTTATTGTTTGTTGTTTCAACACTTTCATGGTCTTTATCATCCAAGCCCCTATGCTCTGTTCCTAGTTAACTTAAGTTAAGTATGGATACTTAATACTGTACTATATTGACATCATGATGTCAGATCGCTTCATAATCTATTCTCTGCAAACTGTGATTTAGTATAATGAGGATACTTCTAAACATTTACTCTCTACCAGTGATCCCATCACAGAGGCGCATTGTTTTCAAACTCACTATTTAGAGCAGTAGTGATTAAAACTACAGGGGAAGGAGGCTATTACCACACACAGAAGCACACAACTACAATTCTATAGTATGTCGCGCAGGGGCTACTAGCGCCATTATGTGATTCAAACCACACAGCCATTCAAATTCCTCTTAACTTAACTGTTGTGATTGAAAGATAACAAAATGGTAACAGAGTTAATTGGTTTGGAAAAATTGAAATAAGAGAAAATCATTGTAGCCGCCCTGAAGGGTAGTTTGAGGTGTGCTAACCACAGCCAGCAGATTGGGAAAGACTATGTAAATAGAGCAGATGACATGGTGGGAAAATGTTGACGGTGCTCACACACCTAAAACCCAGAAACACATTCATAGTCTCTCCTTTGGTTGGCTGTCAGTCCGCTTTTGAATTTCAGCATCTGCTAAGAGTGTTGAAATGAAATTAGTATTCCATATTTCTATTTCTGTAGGATACCCTAACGGACAGATTAAAGAAAATTTGCAGTATTGCTTTGCATCAGAGGTGCAAAACAAGTGTCCTAACAAACCCAGAATATCCTAATTTAGTCATTGTAAAAAAAGACAGCAGAAAACCGGCAACACAACCTCGGAGGAGGTCAGTGAGCCCCAGATTGGACACTTGTGAGCATTTGCATTTGTCCTTATGTGGAAATGTTCTGTTGCAGCCGCATTAACATTGACACCAGTTCAAACATTTCATTAGCACAGCGGCTGCAGCCACATCACAAAGCATGCAGACAGCGACATGTATGGGCAGGGGACACTGTCACACCAAGCTCCAGCCTCACACCACACGTGAGCCGGTTAACCCTTTAACGTCCCGCTCAGCCATTTGGTAGAGCACATTTTTCCCCGATTGTCCTCGCTCCTAGGATATACTGGAGGAAGTGAGCTTACCTAAACTAGCTGTAAAATTAAGTTTAGCTACATGATGCCTAAATTAAGAATGAGCTATGACTTTCTTTTTTTAAGTTCAGCTTTTAAAAAGGCGTGAAAGAAAGCTTTCATTTTGGTTGTTATTGCTCCAAAGAAACGAAGAAAATTTGAAGAAATGTTTTCCCATCCTTTTTTTTCTCAGTGTAGGTGTTACTTATACAAAAGTACTTCAGTACAAGCATCTCATGATATTTGTTCTGTGGGGGTCATCACAAAACCATCTTTTGTCAAATATAAAGCTCAAAGAATGTTTGTGTGTTGATATCTGGAGTTCAAATGCAGTTCATGTGTTTTACTTATAATATAACACATTGTATTTCAATGATTTACCACTTGAACATAAGCTATTTGACTGTTTTTGCAGGAGCTAGTCTAGTTCGGCTGTATAGTTATTAAAGAGAGGAAAACAGCTAGTTTAGAATTCACTAACAAACAGGCTGTATCTTGTTGGTTTAATCCATACGCAGAACAAGTCGTGGATTTACAGAGAGATCCCAGCTGAAATGCGTCTTGCCATACAGGAACCTCCTCCCAAAATCATTGCTTAGAAGAATCACGTGTGTATGTTTGTATGAGGAGTTTGTGATGTCAACACCAGTGCTGAAAGGGTATATTTACATGTATGCAAAAAGGCCAGAGGTTCTTACCCTGATTTTCATGACTCTAGCCATATTCCGTCAACAATGATGACTAGTAAGGGTAATCAGATCAGCTGGTGACAACATTGACGTATATTTGGCATCTTCTCACTGTAAGCTGAGCTGGCACTGGCAAGAAATGGACCCATATTCCAGTTCCACAGTGCAAGATTGTCGCTCCATTCTAGAGAAGGAGAGGCAAGACATTTGATAGCTAAAATATGAAAGAAACACAACAGTTTTCTTCACAGCAGTAGGTGTTACTCTGGACAAAACAGTACACACACATCAGAGAAATACTGTATCATCATTTTCCCACCTCACTTTTCGTAAAAGGGACCATCAATTGCGTCACCCCAAATTTTAAGCGCAATAAAAGTTGCTTTGGAAATAAGTTATTTATCACAGGATTTGTTTTTTTATACCTTTGCATTTTTGGAATAACAGCCATGTAAAGATCTGTTTAACAAGCTAATGGCTGGAACATAGCACACTGGGTCACCCACTAATGCACTGCAATTGCATGCCATAAAAAATAAGAGGAAATTCTTGTAATTTGCTCATTTTGGATAATAAGGTGCATAAAACCCAGTTGATTTATTTAACCAAGATGATTGACTATGAGAATTACATCGACCTTAGTTGAACAAATCTATATTTTCACAAAACCAAACCTCTTCTGGCATTAACTGAATCATTGATGAAGTGAGAAAAGTCCTGTTTAGTAAATCTCC